GTTTAGGGTGTAGGGAGTTTAGGGCTTCAGGGGTTTGGGGACTAGGGGTTTAGGGTTTATAAGGGGTTTGGGTTCAGGGTTTAGGGGTTTGGGGTTTCTAGCGTGGTTTATTATTCGTGTTGGGTTTTGGGGTTACAGGTTACGGATCTATACGGGTTCTGGATTCAGGGATTTAGGGCTTAGGTGGTGCTTCATAAGGCCATCGTTTTGCATTTAGGGTTTTCTTAGTTTCTTGCAAAGGTCTTTATGAGGGTTTTTGGGCCTGATTTAGTTTGGGGTTTGAGGGTATAGGAATAGGGACTCGGCTTTAGGCTTTGGGGCTTGGGGTGTTGAATGTCGTCCTTTCTGCTTTTTGCAAAGCTTGTTTTACAGATTCAGTGATCCTAAGGTTTTGAAGGCGAGTGTTGCGGGCTCAAGAGGTTGTTTGAGGCTTGGAAAGATCAAGGCCGAGATGAGGGTTGACAGCTATGCCCCATCCTAGGGTTAAGGGCTTAGGGATTAGGGTTTACTCCGAACGCCCCCTCGGGCAATCTGCGTCGCTTTTCCAGCCGCACACGTTTCAGGTCCATGCAGTCGCTAGAGAAGTCACTGCCACACTCCGCCAAAGCATCCACCTTCCCTAAACACCAGACCCTAAACCCTAAAACCCTTTCTAGGGTCCCTGTACTGTAGGGGCCTTAATAATTAGAATAAGGTCTTGGGGCCCATTATATTGTAATTATAATAAGGAACCCCCTAAATAATGTAGGAAATTATTTAGGCCCCTATATTATCTACTCTGTCGAGTCGCCCACTCGCCGGACGCTCGCAACCTAACTGCTCAACAGCCCGACGACCCTTGCCAGCCGGACGGCACGAGCTGCTCGCCAGGAACTGTTGTGTCGCTGATGCGGTGACTCGAGACCCCCAGTGCAGTACCACTGCATCTCCCAACCTACCTGGACTACCTGCCTTCATATATTTACAATACGAAGCCCTAGGGCGTAATGTTGATACCTTGTCAGAACTCATTGGTTCATTAAACTGCCCAGAGAGTCCAATACCCCTTAATTAAGGAATATACCTTAAATTATAAGGGGCTTGATGTTGTGATTTCAGCTATATTCCTTAATTAAGGGGTATTGGGCTCTCTGGGTGAGCCATTTGAGGGGTTCAGAAAATCAGAAGTTGAGGTTCTGGAGCTTTTCGGTTTAGCCCTAAGCCCTGAACCTTTGTCCCAGAGACTCCAACGCCCCTTTCTTCGGGATGATGCCGTGACCCTTCCATAATTTGCGGCATATTCCTCAACGAAGGAATTTTGGAGCCTGGATTCATAAAGTTGTTTGAGTACCACTGTTTTTATGATCATGAACAGTAATGGTAGAACTTAAAACTATGATTAGTCAGGGTTTCGGGTCCAACACTCCAGGTTCCGGGCCTCTGTGCCAAGTCTGTGCTTAGCTATTTGTAGCCCCAGTTTGGGTATCCCTCCTAAGCACATCTAATTTTTGAGGAAGCCTGGGAATCGTGTTGCGAAGTACTTGTGGCTTCTATACTCATAAGAAGAAAGCTTCGGGTAAGCGCCCGGCGCCAGCGTAAACTCGAAGCCGAAAAGCTCGTAGATGTCAAAGACGAAGGACAGGGCTGAAGACACCTGCAGGAAGCTACCTTTAGAGGCCTCAACGACTAGCTTCTTTTGTTGAGGGGGGTTGTTGTTTTTGTACTATATGGGGATCTTATTATTTAGCAGTGTTCCGACCTGCAAGAAGCTACGAAGGATAGGTTGGGGGCTTAAGGAAGTAGAGGGCTCTATCATGAACCCCAAGTTCGATAGTATGATCCCTCTTCTTCGGACCGCCAAAACCAGGGAACCCGAACATGAAGACACCCCATAATCTTACTACCACCCTCTACCCTAAACCCTGAACCCGACGCCCAACCCTAATGAGGCGGATCTTACCACCACCCTAAACCCCAAACCCTAAACCCTCGTGTCCACAGCCTGGTTTTCCCGGTGCAAGGGATTCGAAGCATTTGAGCTACGATGAGTTTCAAAAGAAGGGGGCCCAGCACATCAACCCTAATGATTAGAGTTCGTCTACGATATAGACGCCCAAGTGGACTCGTCTTTCAGGGCGGCAAGTGCGGGATTGTCGGCGATGGCCTCTTCCGCAGCAGCAAGATGCAATGTCATTCCAGTGCAAAGCTCCATTATTGAATGACCCCACTCAAATGCTGCTGGGCCGAGGAAGCTAAAAGCCCAGAGCATGTGATGGAATCGAAAGAGTGAGGCCACGATGCAGAAGGGAATGCAGGATCCCCAAGTGGACTAGTCAACTAATCCCTATTGGGTTGATGATATGGTACAGCTGAAACCAGGTTGGCCCTTCAAAGACGTTTCGTAAGTCAGATCCTCTTAGGCCCAAGAAAGAGTACTGTAGGCGTCGAGGTTAACGGCGTCCTAGCGGAGGGGCAAGCTACGCAATAGATGCCTGGAGTCTGTCGTGTCTTTGGGCATGCTGACGGTCGCATATGAAATTATCGAGGCTCCGGCGGCCAGTGCCGCTTTGCAGGAGGATAGCGTATCTTCTCGAGGAGCATCGTGAAGGAGAGGTTTTTGAGATCGCTCATGCAGCAGCCCTCCCATACCTTGTGATTCTCCGAGTCGATCACTGTGAAGTGCGTTTCCAGTGTGTTCAGCCTCTTCGTCTGGTAGATCAGGTCGGCGTATGTTGTCAACTCCTCGTGTGGACGCGCCCGTCGACATGGATGTTCCGAACGACGCAGCAACACCATCTTTCCACCCGTCAGTTGCCTCGAACTCGAACTGCTTTCCGGACAGCAGGCGGATAGTCAGCTTGCGCGTGCACCTTAGCGACTACTCGGGTTCGCACGTGTGCAAGACAGTGGACGCCGAGGGCTTGGCTTAAGTCGGCGCATGTATTGGAGCATCCTCGCTGAAACCCCCAACCGCGCCCTGCGGTTGCTTCCTTTCGCCATGGAGAGCTCGGCTGGAGGCGAGTCAAGAGAAAGGGAAGATTGGGTGTTTGGGAGAGCTCGGCTGGAGGCAAGTCAAGAGAAAGGGGAAATTGGGTGTTTCTGAGCACGAGCTGGGCGGCTGTTCCACGCTGTTGAGTGCGAGTGCGCTCCCACCGATACAGTGCAATTGCAGCTGGTGGACCTGCTGCCTGAACCTCCCTTGGCGGGCTGTCAATTTTTGATTCCGGCGCCCTCGACGTGTCGTCCCGCGCAACGCCTGCGGCGGTCGACCTTGGCGAGGATCGGGGCTGCCCGGCTTTGCGGTTATCAATCGTGCAGCTTTGCTCTGGAACTCTGGGCCGCCAACGTCAGAAGGCGATTTCTTCGTTGTCGATATCGTCATACGGGCTGCCTTCCTTAGCTGGTCTTGTGTCCGTGTCAACTCTCGATGAAGAGGCAGCCGGGTGACCTGAACCGGTGCCGGATCTGGCTCCGGCTCCGGTTCGGCGTCGCGGGCGAGGATTGCCGCCAGGTCCTGGTGCTCGTTGTTTGGCAAGACAGGTTGAACTAGACCGGATGACGGGGGCCTCCTGCCACGCTTCCTCCTCCGCCCGGCGGAGGCGGGTCTTGGTGGTGCTGCTGTGGGGGCCCCCCCGCTTCGTCCCGGCTGGGGCCAACCCACTGGAACCATGGTGGCAGAAGCGGCTCCTGTGCGGGACAGTGTAGCTTTGCTGGGGTTTGGCGGTTGCGCGACTCGTTTTTGAAGTCCTGCGCAAAAAAGCCACTTATGCGGCCGTTGCCACGAGACAACAGCCTATCAAACCGAATGAAAGCGTCTTCTAGTCTTCTACCTCTGGGAGCAAGGGAGAGGCGAGCTTCTCAACCTGGCAACTGCGCCCGGCTACTCATGAAGGTCGACTAAGACCTCGAGAGATCCGGGCTTCTTTGCCGCCACTTCCAGGGCGACGTCCGTCCAGAGCGGTCTTGTCGTTCTCCTTCAACCAGACGTCGGCCTTGTGGGCTCGGCACGCTAATATAGAACCCCACACAAGCCACCCCCCCCCCCCCGATTGCTGTGAAACCCAATAGAAGTCGGCCTTGTACGCCAGCAGCTGCCTGGCCACGGCCGTGGCCTTGAGCCAGCGCTCGGTGGAGCGCGTGCTTTCCGTCGTCTGTGACGCTGTTGGGGTTCGCCCATGTGCGCAAATGTTCGACGACCTTCTGCACGTTGTCGTCGTAGGCTGCCAGAAGACCGAGTACTGGTATTCTTGCGAGCCAGCGTGCTTCTTTCTCTTCTTGTGTTGCGGGCGAGGGGCGGCCTGCCTCGGGGGGTAGCCAAGCGTGGGTGGCCCAGGTTCTCATGGCTTCTGTAATAGGGTCCCCCTACACCCTAAACCCTAAGCTCCCCCTTGAAAGGTACGATGGCGGGTGCTTATGGGTTCTGCAACAGGGTCCCCCTTAAAGGGAACAAATAACACACCCAAAGGCCCTGGAAATGAAGGCCTCCAGGAGGTCCCTGCAAGCATTGGGCCCTTAGTCTGGAACCCAGATCTTCGGAACATCGTTCAGAGTTGAGGGGTTTAGGGTTTAGGGGTTGAGGTTTAGGGGCTTAGGGGCTTCGGGAGAGGCCTACACTCTAGGGGTTTAGGGAGAGGCCTACGCGCTAAACCTTGTAACCTCTGCGCTAGGCCCTTAATCCTGAACCCTCAACCCTCAACCCTACCAGCCTCGTCCTTGATCTGGTCCTGTCTGAAGCGAGCTGCGGACACGGAGGAGCCGGAATGGTTTTGCAAGGGCTCTGCAATTACTGTGTAAGGTTCTGGAAGTGCTGTGTGCGTGTATGTATATGCACGTGCGTGTATGTGTTACATACACATACAAACATGTTTAAATATATCTATGAAAAACACAACACACACGTACACACTCGCTCTCTACATGTACTTATGTATGTATGTAGGTAAGTAGGTAGGTAGGTAGGTAGGTAGGTAGGTAGGTAGGTAGGTAGGTATACGTGTGTTTCTGTATGTGTATATATGCCCATGTGAGCTTCTCCGGGGTGCTGTCCGCACTGCTGTCCGGTTGCCCCCGTGCTGCTGTCCCGGCCGTTATGTTATTCTTCCAAATAGGGGTCCTGTCCTCTGGTGAGGGTCCCACCTACCAAGGATCATAGTAGCTTGGCATGTGGGATTGCTGGTGCAGAATCGTGTGAGCTCTTTCAGGCCTTGAGGGTTGCAGCCCTCGGCCTATCATGGCTCAGGCTCGAGTGTCTTGCTGCCATGCCCTGACATGTTGCGAGAGATGTCAGGAAGTAGAGATAAAGGAGGCGGCTGACCGGGCTCACCTTAGCTGGCAAGAGGCAGTTTGTCCTGTCCGCTCAAACGATATGGGAAGTTCTCTAAATTAGGGTCCTCCCCAGTATAGTACGGCACCCTTATAATATGGACCCCAAAAGGGCCCCTAATTTAGAGACCACCCCTATTCAGAGCTCCAGTAAGAACTGTCTTCTTTCACACCTTTTTCACCTCAACTCCACGTCCCTCAACCCCCAAACCCTACCGTCAGATGCTCAAGCTGGAAACACACTGACCGCCTAAACCTGAAACCCGCAACCCTTCAGCCCTAACCTGAAAAGCCCTAGAGGCCCAGAAGCCATAAAACCTCCAAAACAGAAGTACACCAAACGTAGCCCTAAGCCCTGAACCCCTAAGGCCTAAACCCCTCCTAGCACCAAGACCCCAAACGCCTAAACCCCGAAACACCTAACGCCTAAACACCGAAACCTCTAAAGCCTTAAACCCCTAAACTCCTAAACCCCTAGACCCCTAAACCCCTGAAGCATAGACTCCTAAAGCCCGAAAGCCCTAAACCCCTAAACCCTAAAAACCCTAAAGCCCTAAACCCTAAAGCCCAAAGCCAGAAATATCGCCGCGGCTCTGTCCGTTCACCAAAACAGCGCCCGAGTCGGGGTCATAGAAGCGCTC